CAGGGAGGGTCTGCGGGGGTCAGGGAGGGACTGCGGGGGTCAGGGAGGGACTGCGGGGGTCAGGGAGGGTCTGCGGGGGTCAGGGAGGGACTGCGGGTGTCCTCGCGACGCCACGTGCAAGTGCGCAGCCTGGATTTGGGCGACCAAGGGAGTCCCAAGACCTCCGGGAGAACATCTCGCTGCTAAAAGGCTTACCCAGGGTTGGGAATCTGTCTCTTCCTTTCGCCCCCTTTCCACTCTCCTCCTCTGTCCTGCTGCTTTCTTCCTTTCTTTTCCGCAGTAAGCATGTTTTGGAGACGGCGATGGGCAGAAACGGGCAGGTGCGGCTCACGCAGAGGTCGGCGGGGAGCTGAGCAGCCTCCGCAGCAGATGCGAACGCGGCCTGGCTCCCTAGCCCGCCGCGGGCACTCGGAGCTGACGGTCTCCTAGCGACCGGGCGGCCGGCCACACCGGAGCCGGGCGACATGAGCGCCCGCGGACTGCGCCAGGCGCCCGAGCGCGTGAGCCGCGGGCTGGGGTAAGCGCGGCGCGGCCGGGCGCCTGGACCCCGTGGGGGGGTGGCTGGGGACGCGGGTGGCCCACGGGAGGTCCGCCTGCCTTTGCCCGATGCCCCCTGTGCCTATAGCAGTGACCTATGGATAACCAGCGCCCCACGCCGTCACCGCAAAGGACGTCTCCTTCTGTTATCCTCACAACCCCCGCCGGTGTCGACTGACAGCCACCTCCCAGGGGGAAACCAAGGGCCGCAGGGTCTGCTGCACAGCAGGGCTAGCGGAAGACTCAGCACTCCTGCCCGTGACCGCTCTGCCAGGTGCCCTGGGGCGCCAGCAGCCCCACCTGGGATATGAGGGACTGCAGCATGGGGGGACTTTGGCCACCTGTCCACCCAGCTGGTGGCCGTGGTCTCAGGTACCGGGAGGTCTGCAGCCAGGGCGCAGGAACAGCAAGCTCTCTCTGCCTTTGCTGGCTGCTTGAGAGTGGGACTCTGGGTCTCTCACAGGCAGCAAGGTGTGGTGGCGAAGATTCCAGGCTCTGGAACCAGAAAGACTTGAGTTGAAGGCCGGTTCTCATTTTGTTTGCCTGGTGATCTTCGGCAACTTAGTTGCCCCTCTGGGTCCTTTTCCCTAACTGTGATATGGGGACCTTAAAAGGAATCAGATTTGTAAGATTGTAGCGAGGAGCAACCGAGCTAGCACGTGTCAGCCTGGCTCACAGTCTGTGCTGTGTGCATGTTAGCAATGGTGAAAGCTTCGGGAGTCTTTTCTCCTCCCACTTAAAAACTTTTTGTTTCGAAATAATTGTAGACTCACAAGAAGTTGCAAAAATAGTACCAAGGTCCCATGTACCCTTCCCCTGCCGTTTCTAGGGGTGCCATCTTACAGCGAATTGCCAAACCAGGAAACGACACTGGCCCAATACAGTAGTTAGACCGCTTGGATTTCATCAGCTCTTAATTGCACACGTGTGTGTATGGTGTCCTGTAAAATTTTGTCATCTGAATACATCAAGAGACAAAACCACCTTGTGCTGCCCCTTTAACGCCACTCCTCTTCCCACCCCCAGAATAGCAGCGTCTATGGAGATTACGTCTGCATGCATGCAAAAGGACGACTCAGATTTGCGAGGAGGTGTACAAAGGACATATTTCAAATCCAGTAGAGTGGTTTCACCTATTCAAGGAGACCCCTGAGAGTGGGCTGTGGGGATCGAATAAAGACAGCAGGAGAGGGGTCTCGCGCAGACCAGTGATATGTGCCATGAACTATCATAGGAATATGATCAACTCTGTCTTCTCCTGGTGAATCCCTCTTCCTCTCCCCCCCTCCCCAAAGAGGTGGGGCCCAGGATCCTTGCAACCTCCTTCTCCCACCCTAGTCCTGTGACTGGGGATGTTGTCTTCTAGGTACAAAGAGAATCTACCTTCCAAGTGTTTCCCGAAGGACAAGAACAGGCCGGAGCTCCCCACCACCCTGGCTGGACAGCAGGCGGTGGGTGTTCGTGGGGAATGGGCCGGACAACTTCAGGGATGGCTGCCTGCCTGGCCTTGGGCTGATCACTCGGGGACCTGAGCAGGGCTTCCTGCCCCGGATTCATCACAGAGCTTCCCAGCCAGCCCCAGAGAGGAGGCAAAACCAGCTGCCCAAGGACGCACCCTTGTTTTCTAGGCTGTCGCCAGCCCGGCGGGCCCGGCTAGCATTCCTGGAGGAGGTGGAGGCCCGCCTGGCCTCTCACCCCTGGGCCGTCCCCCTGCATCTAGAAGAAGCCATGCCTGCAGAGGTGACCTGTCCTGAGGTTTATGGGAGGAGCTTCACTGGGGCCTTGAAAATAATTCTGTCCAACTGTCTGGGGAGTGAAGGTGTCATGTTTATAAGAGGGACAGAGAAATGTCTCCTTCAGGGTAGAGGCTCTGCCCTAGGAAGAAGACCAAAAGATGTTTATAGGCCCATTTCTGTTAAATGTTTTTTGAAGAATTAAAAAATTTTTTTTTCCAGAATTATACTTTTGGGATTGCGATTTTGGGGATTTTGGACTTTAGCGATTGTGGTTTCTGGATTTCAACATTCAGGATTATGGTGTTCTGGATGGTGTCTTTTGGGATCATGGCTCAAACCCATCGTCGGTACCTAGCACTGAATATGACACATAAATTGATGAACAGCATTGATTGACTAGAAAAGAAAAGCGCAGGGCAAGTTGGTGTATTTTTGTCGCAGAATAGGGGTCCCCTTTTTTAGCATATTTTTTTATAAAGCTGTTTTCTGTTTGTAGCTCTTACTAAAGGTGCTGGAGGTGCTCGATCCTGACAGGAAGCTGGAGGACGCATGGGGTTATTGTCAGGACCCCAGAAAAAGAACAAAGGAATACCCAGAGCTTTTTAGAAAAAATTCTATGCAAGTCCACCTGGGACTGTGAGTATTGTTCTTAACTCCTTGATCATTACTGTCACCTGATGAAACATTCTAGGAGTTATCTCTTTAAAAGCTTCTCATCTTTAGAATATTTTTTGTATACATTTTTAAAGTTTTTAATTGACAAATAATAATTGTATATATTCATGGAGTACATATGATATTTCAATACAGATAATATATAGTGATCAGATCAGAGTAATTAGCATATCCATCATCTCAAACATTTACCTCATTTCTTTGTTAGGAATGTTCAATATTCTCCTTCTAGCTATTTGAAACTATGTGATACATTATTAATTATAGTCATTCTATGGTAATATAGGAAACCAGAAATTATTCCTTCTATATAGCTGTAATTTTGTATCCTTTGACAAATATCTCCCTGTCTTCCCTCCCTCTCACCCTTCCCAATCTCTAATATCCTTTCTATTTCTGTGAGATCAACTTTTCTTAGCTTCCACATCTGAGTGAGAACATGTGGTTTTTAACATTCTGTTCCTAGCTTATTTCATTTAACTTAGTATCTTCCAGGTCCATCCATGTTGCTGCACAAGACAGAATTTCATTCTTTTTTATGGCTGAATAGTATTCCATGGTGTCTGTATCACATTTCTCTATCCATTCATCTGTTGTTAAACATCTAAGTTGATTCTATATCTTGGCTATTGTGAATAGTTCTGCAATTAACATGGGGTGCAGATGTCTCTTCGATGCAATGATTTCCTTTCCTTTGCATAAATTCCCAGTGGTGGGATTGCTGGATCATAGTTTTTTGAGGCATTTCTCTACTGTTCTCCACAGTGGCTTTACTAGTTTGCATTCTCACCAATGGTGTATAAAAGTTCCCTTTTCTCCACATCCTTACCAACATTTGTTATTTTTTGTCATTTTGTTAGTAACCATCCTACCTAAGGTGACATGGTACTTCATTGTGGCTTTGACTTGCATTTCCCTGAGGATCAATGATGTTGATCATTTTTTCATATATTTGTCAGTCATTTGTATTTCTTCTTTTGAGAAATGTCTTAGAATTAGGTAGTGGTGATGGTTGTACAACTTCGTGAATACACAAATCCCACTCTTTTATACACTTTTGAAACGGTAACTTTTATGAATTTAATGGTATGTGAATTATATCTCAGCTTTTAAAAGGAAGCTATCGATGAGGCTTAAGCAATTGGAGACAAAGGGTGGCTGCATGTGATATGCCTGGATTTACATTTTGAAGTGACAACTTTGGCTGCAGTGTGGAGAATGGACTGGGCTTGGGCTTGGGGGCTGTAGAGATGATGCTGAGACACTAGTGAAGAGCCTTTTGCAACAGTCCGGAGAATGAGACAGAGTTAAAATCTGCCAGACTTACTAATGGGCTAGATTTTTAGAATTAGAGAGAAGTCAAGATGTCTCCTACTCGTCCAGATTATCTGAGGCTTTCGTAGACTTCAAGCACAGTCATTTGGGCTTTTACTTGGTACATGTTTTAATAAGTGGTACTCTCAATTTAAAAAATAAACTTATAACTGTCAAATGCTATGTAAGTTTTAATTTCTATAACTAATTATATTTGTTTTCATGTGTGATGTTGATAATGGCAATGTAAGCTTTGAAAAATTAAAATATAATGCATGTGAGCTTGCAAGAGACTGTTAGAAATTCTTGCTTTATGATTTTCTTTCCCCCATGAAACTTTTTGAAATCTGTATGGATTCACTGTGCTTCAGTGTAATTCTTCAGTGATCTCATTACCTTCAGTCCCAAGAAGATTCCCGTGCCATGTTCAGGCCAATGGCTCTATGAAGAAAAGCCTTGTAAAATGGATTTGCTCCACAAAGATGGTCTTCTTCTTTATGAAAATGTACACAGAAGAGTTAGTGACTTCTGCAACTGGGCTACTGCTTTGGTAAGTCAGTACTTACACCTACTTCCTAAAGTCAAGCTCAAAGTTGCTTTTATTAAAAAACAGTGTTTGGATAAAAATCTAAGTCAAATCATCAAAGTCATGAAGGAATCATTCTCTCCTACCATTTATAAGAAAAATGTTCCTAGAAGAGGAAATTTCTGGAAACTTGCAGCTGATTTGAATGTTTATGTTTATATCTCCTTATCATTGCTGTTATTTCATATTTTTATTTTCCATTTCAGTGTCAGGACCTTCTCTCTGTCCTTCACTCCTTCTTCAGCTCATTTTTCTGAGTTATATTTATCCGCAGTCCCTGAGCAGGTACGCCTGGCTACAATCTTCACAAAAAGTTTTTCTGACACGAAGCAACTGACTCAGTTCTCAAGGTCATTCTTGCCCTCCTTCCAAGAACCTATTTAGTTACCGATTCCTGTTCCTGAGTCTTTGTAGATGTCTGGATTCTTGATGCTTTTCTTGGATTTAAGACCTCTAGTATTTTCATTCTCTCCCCTCTTCCCCCAATCTTTTGAGTGTATTTAGTCAGTTTTAGTCATGTACTATTTCATTAGCAAGTGACTGAAATATAATGTAGACTGGACTAAGGGAGAAAAGGGAGTTGTCCAGTTCTTAGGAGCTTTAGGCACAGCTGGATCCAGGTGCTGGCATGTTTTTAGGTGTTGTCCTTATCTCTTGGCCATGTTCTTCTCAAGCAGTCTTTCCCCAAGAGATACCAAAAGTAGCCACTAAAATTTCCAAGCTTATACCCTACCAGTAAGCAACTTAACTGGGAAGAGAGTAACCCTTTCCTAGTAGGGAAATTTCCAGGGCTTACCCTCCTGGATTAACTTGGTTCATGTGCCTGGGCCTGAATTACCCATGATATTAAGGAGATGGAATATGATCATTGGCTAGGCCAGGCCACATGTCTAACCCTGAAGCTGAGAGGTGGGGGTGTCTAGCCCAGCTGCAGCAGCCTAGAGCAGGGAAGGGGAAGCTATCTCCTAATGTAGTGACACAGACCTCCTCAGTGGCTGACTGGGGATGCTGATACGACAGAGGATGCCCTGGGCCTCGTGCCCAAACCACCACTTGCCCGTAATTTGGCTGGACTGGACTGCCTGCATCCAAGCCCCTCCCCTCTGCCCATGCCCACTGCTAGACACCAGTCCCCATTTAGGCAGGAAACTTAAGGGACCTTGGGATGGCAGTCCAGCTGCTCTGGTGACTAGCCTGATTTTTACTCCCTCACGACCAAGTCCTGTCTTTATTTACATTCACAGCCTGGTCCCTGTCACATCACCTGTGCATTCTCCTCGCAACTCTGTATTGTCTTTTCCGTGCTATTCATTTTCACCCCACTGGCTCCACTGCTTCAGTTCTCCTTCACTGTCACCCAGCCTAGTTTCAACTTCCCTTATCCCTTTATGCCTCTGACACTATCCCGTGACTCCTGCCTGTAAATCATACTCCACCTGCTGGTGGCCTCATTCCCTCTGCATTTCCCAATCTCTGTCTGCCAAAGTGGGATTCTGTTGAGTCTAATTTGTCTTCTCGCCTTAAGCTGTATCTTATGTCAAGGTGAGCCTGTGGTGTAGCTGCTGCCCCTGATGCTGGGCTAGGGGAAGGAGACAGAGACAGTTGTTCTGTGCACAAAACGTGGCTGACTAAAGCCATCTCCTGCAGCCGGACCCGTGAACAGGGCAGCTCCCCTGTACGGGGCTGTGGGCAGAAGCATGTCTAGATATGTCTGGGAAATACCTCTAGGAATGTCACTCCTCTCCAGTGCTGGGCAAGTTAGCTGTTGATCAAACAAACTGAATTTTCCTCAGCCCACGGTTTCCCCCAGGGACACCCTGCTTCTTGCAGGTCCTAAGCTGTCTCCTAATGTAATGACACAGACCTCCAGACCCCACCACATACTTCTAGTCTCAGTGAAGACCGACTGAACATTTTCTATCTCTCTTCCAAACTACCTCTTTCCAGCAATGCTCAACTAGATTAATCCCCTAGATTAAAGAAGAAAGCAAGGAGCACCTCACCATTCACCCTCCATTCGTGCCATGTGATATTCTTCCAGGGAAGTTCGAACATTGATGAAGAGTTCATCCTGAGACAGTTTGACGTGGACTGTCCAGGCACACCAAGCCGGGATGTGCTCCCCACACTGAGGCCAAACCCAGTTCCTCGGGAGCTACAGCCCAGGGTGGGGCTCAACACACAGCAGGAGCTGGATTCCTTCCAGAAACTGGACTATCAGAGGAAACTCCAGAAACCACAGGTAATTGCAGAAGGGGGGCCAGCTGAAAAGCAAAGAAATTAAGTCATCTTGAGGACTTAAATGTTCTTGAATTCTGATGCTTTGGGGAGCACTGGATTTGTAAAGTAAAATTCTTGAATTTTTTTCGGGATCCATAAATATTTGTTAAATGAATGGAGATGTTTAATGCATTTAACAAAGTCAGTTATACAAACGAGGCATGCCATTCAGAGTTATTTTTAACACGTGAGTAGGCATTTTCAGAGATAATCTTTTTATATGTTTTATATGTTGAAATTCTAACAGTGAGTGGAAATATACCTGAATGGTTATAATTTCAAGAGTAAAATGCTGCAGTTAACGACTGTGATGCTGTTAATTTTTTGTTGTTGTTGTTTTTATTCTTATGTACATCCTGTAAAAAAGTTTCTAAAAGCAGGATTGAGTGCACTACATTAGTACAGCTTTGCTTCCAAAGAGGCTTGCATTCTACTGCTTTTATTCCTAAATCAGTGAGCCTATGTAAGAGTCAATAAAACTCACCATTTATTGTTATAGCAAGGATTGTGCCTTTTTATATTCATTATTTTACTTACTCTTTAGGACAACCCTATATAAAACAGGTACTATCATTAATTTCATTTTACAGTTTGGTAAACACGTGTAACGAGATTAAATGATTTGCCCAAGGTCACACAGCTAGGACATGGCTATGTCAGGGCTGGGACTCAAGTCATGAGACCCGTAACCATAAAATACCTCTCTGTGGGGGGATACAAGGGAGGGGAGAAACTATTTTTATTAAGTAAATAGTTTAAAATAAAGGTTTAATTACTTTAACGAATAATTTAAGATCGCACCATATATCAGTTGAAAACCAATAGCGTAAAATAAGCATCCTTTAAGAAAAGTAACTCTCACCAGAGCGAGTTTAAAAAGTCAAGTGTATTTTTCCAAACCACATTAAAAACACTTTTTGCAAGTATTGAACTTGCAAACTGGCTCGCGAAACCCTTCCCACCCATCCTGCACGCCCAGCCAGCCCTCTGCGTTGACGTCTCTTCTCCCTGCCACTAAACCGCCATTCGCTGCGTCCTCTTACTCTCTCAGAAACGCACATCTTGCCTCTCAAGTTGCATTCCGGCTCAAAGCCCTGTCATAACTTAAAACATTCCGGTGTGTCCCTCAGCAGTACCAGTCACCACAGCGAAGGTGCTTAATAAAATGCTTACTGTCCCACCACACGGATTCTCGCACAGGTATGGCAAGAGGCACGCCTTGAGTCACGCGGGGCCCTAAACAAGCTCCAAAGGGACTCTGGGCAGTCCTCTTACACCAGCAAGGCAGAGGTGCAAGGCCTCTCACCCTAGGGCCTTCTCCATCAGCCTCTCCCCGGGTGCCACGCAGGTTTCGCGTGCTGCTCTGAGGAAAAAGCTCCAAAAGCTGACAGCACTGCCGGCTGGCGCGAGAAAACGCGCGCGACGCTCTGCGCATGCGCGGGACGCGTCCTCGGCGCGCCCGGGCGGGAGACCAGAGAACAGGCTGCGGCGCCAGCTGCGTGCTGCGGCCAGTCGCGTCCGCCTCAGACTAGCCTGAGCCGGGCCTGGTTCCTCAGACGCAGTCCCAGAGGCGGCGGCCACCCCCGCCCCAGGAGCCAAAGCCCTCGGCTCAGCGCGCAGCTCCAGACCCAGTGCTGCTGATTTTATGTCCAAAGAATTCTCTAACGTCCTACCGGAGTCGTACTGACCGCGGGCCGTCACTGCCGACCGCGTGCCTGCCCAGCTGTTAACAAACCGCCCGCTTCGCAGCGCCAGTTGCTGTGGAGGCGGAAGGCCGGGGCACAGAAAGGAGAAACAGCACGCCGCGTTTTAGAGCGAGTTCTGCAGGCCCAGAGCACTTGTTAGCTTTTCTACACAATATGTCGATTCTACCCAGACAAGCCCCATCCTGTCAGTCAACGACGGACTGCCTAAGTTGCGCGTGGAGGGTTTCCTTCCCCTGAAAGTGAAAAACAGTATATTATCTCTAACTATCCTCTGCCTTTTATGCATTATCTTTTTTTTTTTTTTTGAGACAGAGTCTCACTCTGTTGCCCCCCTAGAGTGCCGTGGCGTCAGCCTCGCTCACAGCAACCTCACACTCCTGGGCTCCAGCGAGCCTCCTGCCTCAGCCTCCCGAGTAGCTGGGACTACAGGCATGCGCCACCATGCCCGGCTCATTTTTTCTATATATTTTTAGTTGGCCAGTTAATTTCTTTCTATTTTTAGTAGAGACGGGTTTCCCTCTTGCTCAGGCTGGTCTCGAACTCCTGACCTCGAGCAATCCTGCTGTCTCAGCCTCCCAGATTGCTAGGATTACAGGCGTGAGCCACTGCACCCGGCCTTACGTATAATCTTTGATATTATATTTCCAGAATTGTGAACATCTTAATTTTGTCCTTTACAACTGAACACAATGGACCAACCTATTTTGACATGCATGATGTTTCTATCCTTGACTCCGTTGCATAGAGTTAATGAAAACACTGCACTAATATCAGCTCTTTAATTTTTCCATTTTCCTCTCATCTTTCTAAAAGGTAAAATGTGAAATGGTGCTGGACAGGCTGATCACGTCAGCTGAGGCCTGAACCGCTGCCTTTCCTGAATCTGGGCTGAATAAAATTGCACAAGTCCCTGTACTTACAAATATCTTGTGCAAACACTGCTTTATAAACCAGGGTGGTTATTGCCAAAATTGAACTTTCGACCGGCACAAGGAGGACCACGGTGCAAAAGTTCAAAATATATTCTTTCCACATAGTATCGATTTTCTTCTGCCTGAAGGACTTCTTTGGACATTTCCTCCAGTGTGTGTCTGCTGGTGATCCACACTGGAAGAAAATTCACCAAAGTATATAATAATAAAAGTGCAAAACAGTGACAAAGAGAACATCTTAAAAGCATCCAAGGGAAAAGCACATCCAGAAAAGCAAAGACAGGCTGCTGTAGATTTCTCACCAGAACCAGCACAAGCAAGACGGCAAGGGAGCAGCACCTCTAGCCGGGTGGCGGTGCACGCCCTAGTCCCAGCCACACCAGAGGCTGAGCCAGGAGGGTGGCTTGAGCCCTGGGCTCTTAGTTTGCAGCGAGCTACGATGATGCCGCTGTGCTCTAGCCTCTAGGCCGGGCAACAGAGCAAGACCCTGTCAAAAAAAAAAGAATTGGAAAAATTTTTATCATTATTTCTTTAAATTTTCTTTTGTCTTTCAACCCCCTCCCAGGACTCTAATTACATGTAATTAGGATGCTTGAAGTTGTCTCATGGCTCTGTTCAGTTTTTAAATTCTTTTTTTTTTTCCTGTGTTTCTATGGCTATGTCTTTACATTCTCCAATTTTGCCCCCTGCAATGTGTAATCTGCTGTTAATTCCACCCAGTATATATTTTTTTATCTCATATATTATAATTTTTAGCTGTGGAAGTTTGACTTGGGTCTTTTTATAAATATATATCTTCCATGTCTCTACTTAATCTCTCTCTCTGTTGTTTTTTTTGTTGTTGTTTTTTGAGACAGAGTCTTGGCTCTGTTGCCCGGGCTAGAGTGCCATGGCATCAGCCTAGCTCACAGCAACCTCAAACTCCTGGGCTCAAGTGATCCTCCTGCTTCAGCCTCCCGAGTAGCTGTGACTACAGGTGCACATCAGCACATCAAGCTAAATTTTTATTTTTTGTACAGATGAGTTCTCCCTATGTTACCCAGGCTGGTCTCTTACTCCTGGCCTCAAGTAATCCTCCCACCTTGGCTTCCCAAATACTAGGATTACAGGCAGGAGCCACAACATCCTGCCTCTACTTAATCTTTTGAACATGTGGAATACAGTTATAATAATTGTTTTTATGTCATTCTCTGCTAATTCTAACATCTGTATCAGTTCTGTGTCAGTTCCCATTAATCGATTTATCTTGTCATTATGGCTCATGTTTTCCCGCATTTCCTGGTAATTTTGGGTGGAAATTTTTGGTAGACATTGTGAATTTTACTTTACTGGCTGTTGAATATTTTTGTGTGACTGTAAATATTCTTGAACTTTGTTGTGGGATGCAATCAAGTTACTTGGAAAAGTTTGAACCTTTTGGGTCTTGCATTTAGGATTTGTGGGAAGAGACCAAAGTGTAATGTTCCGTCTAGGGCTAACTATTCTCTACTATTCAGGCAAGACCCTTCTGTGTGTCCTATCTAGTCTCCTCCGGACCTTTAGGCTTGCCAGGAGGGAGAAGGCACAGTTCCTGCCCCGTGTGGGCGCTGGGCAATCTCCCTCTCATCTTTTCTGTTGCACAGCAGGGGCCCTCTGTAATCCTCTGCCGCTTCCCCTCTGTATACCTCCTTTCTCTATTACTCTGCGCTGCCAACTTTAGCTGCTCTGGTCTCCCTGACTCTCAGTTCTGTCTCCTCCATTCCGGGTCCACTGGGCGCCTGCTCCGGGCACTCGGCCTGCACACTCTCAGGGCGTGGGCTGGGGGCTGTGGGGCTTCTCTTGCTCAGGGCTCATCTCTCAGGGACCACTGCTCCTCCCAGTGTCTTGCAAACTGCTAGTCCAGGTATGTTTTCCCGGTTTTTGGTTGTTGCACGTGGGAGACTGAATGTGCTCCTTATTCTTGAAGTGAAAGTCCCTGTCTTTGTTTTCTTACTTCACACGCTCTCAGGCCTGCTCCACTCGGGTCTCTGGGTTCTTCTTTAAAACCCTGAGCTTCCCACCAGCAATTTACTCACAATCTTCTCCTCCCTACATCCTTTAGACACAAGGCATGTGCCCAGTTTTCCACAGAGTTTTTCCAGGTCCTTGGCTGATATTAATCGGTTCTTGCTTCTCTTCTTTCACAGCAGACTATGCCTCTATTTTAGCATGTCTCTCTTTGCATGGTATATTAATTCATCCGTTTATTTGTGCATTTATTCAACAAACATTCCTGAGCATCTACTTCTGTGCGTTCCAAAGTGCTGGGAACAAGTGGGCAAGAATGGGGGCTGCTCCCTGCACTTGGGAGATGACAGTCCAGTGGGGCTGGCAGGTAAATGATTAACCATAACAAAATGATGTCATGGAGTGGACAGGGCACAGGCAGAAATAATCAATTCCACCAAGCATGGGGTAAAGGCTTGCTCAGTGAAGGATTCACAGACGAGGTTGGGTTTGTGCTGAGTCTTGAACAATCACCAGTCACCCAACAATGTAGCACATTCCGGAACTCAAGTTCTTCAGTGTGGCAGTCATGGAGATTCCATCTCTCTCCCTCTCCCCTACCTGTTCCCTCCTCTTTCCTCCCCTCCTTTCTCTAATTCAGCGGTTCTCATCTGAGGATGATTTTGCCCTCATTTTGCCCAGCTCAGGGACATTTGGCAATGTCTAGAGGGACAATATTTTTGGTTGTCACAGCTTGGGGGATGCAACTGGCATTGAGTGGGTAGAGGCCAGAAGCACTGACAAACATCTGCGATGCAAGAATGTTGCTTCCCACAGAGTCATCCAGCACCAAATGTCAATACTGCCACAGTTAGGAAACCTAACTTTAGTTCACCAAGTATTTATTAAGCACCTGTAGTGTCCTAAGTATCTTTCTAGACGCCAGGGGTTTGTAGCTGGAAACAATCCCTTAAGCTTATGTTTTAGAGGGTGAGAAGAGAGACAGACAGACAAACAGAAAACATATAGCATATTAAGTGGTAGTAAGTGCTGTTAAGAAAAACGAGGAAAGAAGGCGAGGAGTGTCGTGAGGGGGTTACAGTTTTTAAATCGGATGGTCAGGGAAGGCGCCTATGAAAAGGCGAGATGAAATAGGCAAAGAGGCGAGCCACATGGGTGCTTGGGGAAGAGCATCACAGTCGAGGGAACAGCGAGTGCAAAGGCCAGAGGCACAGCGTGATGTGCTCTGCACACGGGGAGGAGGCAGCGTGCCTGGAAGAGGGGCTGCAGTGCTGGGTCCTGCTCTAGAAGGGACTTCCCTTCTCGCTGCCGTGTTTTACACAGGCACATCTAGCTAGACTCTAGAATGCCTCACACATTCCCCTATGTAGTTTACATGCTGTGAGAGGACAGAAGGACAGAGCCTTTGTAGTTTCCTGTTTCTTTGCCTCCCCCAAGAGTTGGACCCTTTTGTTAGGAGGGAGTCTGCGGGCTGCGTCCACAGCCTCAGGCTACGAGCCAGCCAGAGGCTCTCTTGCCACCCTCAGTGCACTGCTGAGGCACGGGAAAGAAGGGGATGGGATGCATTCTTCCTCCTCCTTCTCTCTTCCAATTAAAGAATCTAGGCCAGGCATGGTGGCTCATGCCTGTAATCCTAGCACTCTGGGAAGCCAAGGTGGGCGGATCATTTGAGCAAGAGCGAGACCCCGTCTCTACTAAAAAAACAGAAAGAAAGTAGCTGGACAACTAAAAAAAATGTATATATATATATATATATAATTAGCCGGGCATGGTGGCACATGCCTGTAGTCCCAGCTACTCGGGAGGCTGAGGCAGGAGGATGGATTGAGCCCAGGAGTTTGAGGTTGCTGTGAGCTAGGCTGACACCACGGCACTCTAGCCTGGGTGACAGAGTGAGACTCTGTCTCAAAAAAAATTTAAAAAAAGAGGCAAGAGGTTGGTGTTAGGTAGCAGTTTGATCGAAAATAGTGTAGCACTTAGAAGGCTGAGCACAGAGCTGAGCTCATAGTAAGTCTAATAACTTATTATTTTGATTAACTGATTATTGTTCAAGGTCATAACCCTTGTGGGAAATATATTATTTTTGCATGATTTCTAGCTGCTTGACATACATTTTTCTCCTTTAATCTTTGCAACAACATTATGGGGGTGGAACTATTGTTATATCCATTTTACAGACGAGGGATTTGAGAAACTTGCTCATGGACTCACAACTACTGAAGGGGAAGAGCTGGACTTGAACCCAGGTTCGTCAAAGTTCAAAGGCCATGTTACTATCCACTACATCATCTTTTCAATCATGAAACTTGCATGTTCCCTTTGTAAAGTCAAAGAGTGCTGAGACTTCATAAAATACTTCAGCAAGGACCAACCATAAATTTAAAGCAAGGATACCACTTTCGTAAGTTAAACTTTAGGTTAATGGAAATGACAAACCAAAAAAAACTGACAAAACTTTGGGAATTGTGTTACTTTCTGTAGAATCCTTATAAACCCAAGAAGGTGAAGATGAGGTACGGAGCATGGTATCTGGACACCAAGTTGTGGAAAAAGCAAAGAGCAGATGAACCCCTAGTTGACCCTAAGGTCTCGCATAAAGCTCAACATGAGAATTTTAAAAAGCGACTACAGGAACAGGTATGTCTGATGCATATGCTGAGGTCTCACCACAGTACATCTGTCCCCCCATACGAAAGCCAGAAACTCTGGTGTGATACGGAGACTCTCACACTGTCTCTAGAGATGGGACAGCCATTCATGGTTGTCCTACCATTCTTGGAACAATTGCTTCTGTGGATAATTGTTCGAAGGGTGGTACGCGTGACCTGGTAGAACCACCTTAGTGCTCAGAATGGAGGTGACGTCATGAGTTCTCTTTGGGCAACTAAATGTGAAGCTTGTTTCCTATCAGCAATAAATGAATGTCAAAGAACACAAAATTGGCCGGGCGTGATGGCTCTCACCCGGAGTATCATTTGAGCTCAGGAGTTCAAAACCAGCCTAAGCAAGAGTGAGGAGACCCCATCTCTACTAAATATTTTTAGTAGAAAATTAAAGAAATTAGCTGGACAACTAAAAATATATAGAAAAAATTAGCCGGGCATGGTGGCGCACGCCTGTAGTCCCAGCTAATTGAGAGGCTGAGGCAGGAGGATCACTTGAGGCCAGGAGTTTGAGGTTGCTGTGAGCTAGGCTGATACCATGGCACTCTAACCCAGGCAGCACAGTGAGACTCTGTCTGAAAAAAACAAAAACCCTCAAAATTGCAATCAAGAAATTTCTTTTATGCAAATCATTTGAGTTGTAGGATGTGTCTGAAAGGAAAGGGACAAAGGTTAAGTACTGTTTGACAGCCAGGCGCGGTGGCTCACGCCTATAATTCTAGCTCTCTGGGAGGCCGAGGAGGTCAGGAGTTTGAAACCAGCCTGAGCAAGAGTGAGATCCTGTTTCTACTATAAATAGAAAGAAATTAATTGGCCAACTAATATATATAGAAAAAATTAGCCAGGCATGGTAGCACATGCCTGTAGTCCCAGCTACTTGGGAGGCTGAGGCAGGAGGATCGCTTGAGTCCAGGAGTCTGAGGTTGCTGTGAGCGAGGCTGACGCCATGGCACTCACTCCAGCCTGGGCAACAGAGCACTGTGAAAAGTACTGTTTGACCTTGCAAAGGAACAAAGTCTCACAAGGATGAGCCCTCATTGTACTGCAGATAAGCTCTGTGTCTGCCCATCTCTTGTACAAATTATCTAATACTCATTGTAGTCTTGGAAATTTAGAAGTATTGACACAACACTTCCGCAGGACTCTGATGAGAATATTTGTGAACCTCTTCTCTTTTGCAACAGACCCAAAACTTCTCCCAGATAGCAGATATGAAAATACACTGAAAAAGTACAATACTATGCAAATTTGGCTTATCATTCATCAGTAATCACTCATCAATCACATCCTCCAGATTGGACAGCTAAGACAGGAAAGACAGTCATTTTTTTACCTTTTCCAGTATTGGGTATAAATTCTTATTTTAGGTATGAGGTATGACAAATTTACAAGCACAGCATGCTTATATAAGCCTCTAAGTCATGTAAATAATGTTTAGCAGAATTTCTTGGCATGGTTTTTGGAGCTGCCTATCTAAGTTTATATGAATTTAATACATGACATAAAACTATTCTAGTTGCACTTTTTTAAACTAGCAACATTTTCTCAATGAATTAAATATTCAAAAACTAAAATAGTTACAAACTTTTGTTTCAAGGTATCTAGAAGTTTTTAAAAAATATGTTCTTAACCACTAATTCCTAAAGACTGAAAGAATTTTGCAAAACATAATTCATTTTGATGACAAATGCTAGTAAAGATGTTTGCCAAAATGGTTACTGTAGTCAGCTAATGAAAATGTAGTTTATGGGGAGTTTCAGACACAGGAAGGATTAGAAACAATGAAATTGTTCCACAATGATGTTTATAAATTACACCTTTTTAATACCTGAGCAATGTTTTACCCCATGGACTTCAGGTGATGCCACTAAACTCTGGCACCCAGCTCACTTAGCTACGATGACATGACTGTCTAGCTGGAGACTCATGAGTGTAGACTGTTCTCGATTGCTTTGGTTTAGGAAGTGAAATGGTCTTAACGTACTGAATTGCAATTATGAACTTATATAACCCATTTTTATTTATTTATTTATTTATTTATTTATTTATTTATTATTATTATTTTTTGAGACAGAGTCTCACTTTGTTGCCCAGGCTAGAGTGAGTGCCATGGCATCAGCCTGGCTCACAGTAACCTCAATCTCCAGGGCTCAGCGATCCTACTGCCTCAGCCTCCCGAGTAGCTGGGACTACAGGCATGCGCCACCACGCCTGGCTAATTTTTTGTATATATATATTTTAGTCGGTCAATTAATTTATTTCTATTTTTGGTAGAGACGGGGTCTCGCTCAGGCTGGTTTCGAACTCCTGACCTCGAGCAATCCGCCCGCCTCAGCCTCCCAAAGTGCTAGGATTACAGGCGTGAGCCACCATGCCCGGCATAACCCATTTTTAAATTCAAATAAATGTAAAGAAAAACCAAAAGGATGTATGAATACTGAGAGGGTGCAGCTTCTCTATGCTGATCGTCATGCCATTTGGAGTTAAGATTCCAGACATCCTAGGTTGACATTGTCTAATTGCTACAATAAAACAGTTGCTAATCCTTAATACAAGGGTAAGGAAAAGGGAAAGAAAGTTGAACATCTTTGAAAACCTTCATATTCATCAACCTTCATATTCATAGGTGTGTTATGCACACACCTATCCAGCAACGAGAAGGAGTTGGTTTAAAATGAGACACTTTGTACAGAGCTAAGTGTTTTTCATCAGGACAGATGTGATCTCAGGCTTGGCTGACCAGCGCTTCCATGTGGACACTCTTTTAGGAGGAGTTCCTTGCAGACCTTTGTGGAGCAGTTGCCTTTAAGGATTTCATTCTGAGCAGGGGCTACAGGATGCCGAGCGTGAGTAAAAGGGTCACTTCAGAAAGCCCCAACGATGGCTTCACAGCCGACGGTCGCTGATGGGAAGGGTCAGCACCCTGACAAAGTCCGAATGCGTCTCTTACAGGCTTGCACCACGACTCAGGACCCTGGAAGACAGGGCACGCTCTTCCCCAGACAGAGGCTCAGAGAGAGGAAGTGGCGTTCTGCCCTTTCTTTGGCAAAGGAGATACCTGCACACACACACACACACACACACACACACAGTGTGCGTATACTGACAGTACTTACTTAAATTTATATGTGACCATTCATTTTCTTTGTTACTCCCATAATGTTTGCGTATGCTGTGTATATAAACACTCATGCACGCTACATGAGCACACGCACTTATATACACATCCCGGCATCTGCTCCCGGATTATCTATTTATTACCCACAGCTTCACTTCCTCTGCCCCCCAGGTGGACGCCAGAACTTTAACAGCAAGGCTGGGCACAGAACAAGTGTGAATTCAACCTGAGAATTCCCGATCCTACACAACTGTCCTCCAAAGACCACACATGTCATGGTCAGATGATCGACATGTGACTGTGTGTAGTGTGAGGATACATGTCACAGTGTGAAACTTGGGTATGATAGTGGCCGTAGGAAGGACTATATTGCACAATTTTTGTTTGCCGCTCTCATGAAGGTTCTCGTATTTGTTTTTAGTTCCTTGAGAAGATGTATCCCAGGAAGGAATGTCAGCGTGCGTGTAACAAGACTCCTATAAAACTGACTCAAGCATAGAAGAATCTTGGGAAGGTGATTAGTCAGATTTTATCGGCTATATACTGGGCTATTTCTCTCTCTCATTTTACACATTAAACAGAATTTATGATGAGTGTACCATTGTGGATGTTCATCTTCGACTTGGCAACATCTGCAAACGTAGTATATAATACTTATAAACATTTCTCAATGATTTTCTGCTTCAATTAATCAATATTTCATACATATTATCAACTATGAGATCATACGTAATCTCCCATTTTTGTAGCATTGTGAATATTACCTAGTATATATGCTATTTGTAAAAGTAAATAGAACAATAAATATTAATAAAAGCAGAATTCCTCTGTTGCATTTTTTTCAGGGTATTATTTTCCCTGGTTTACAGCCTTTAGAACTGCGAGCCGAATAAACCTCTTTTCTTTATAAATCACCCAGCCGTGGGTATTCCTGTATAGCAACACACACTAAGACAGGCATGCTGGTCTTGATAATAACGTGTATCTATAACATAAGGTCACAGGTCAGAAAGTTTAATGGAAACTCTAGGTGACATGTATATTTTAATTATATTTTTTAAATTACTTTTTATTTAAAGATGTTAATGTTCATCTTAGGAAAATCAGAAAATACAGACTAGCAAAAAAATATAGGAAATACTGATATTTCCTATGGGGTGAATAGTAACCACTCTCTGTTCATTGGAATGGATTCTAGATCTTTCTCTAAGAAACACACTCTGGATGATTTGCTCAAAAAAGAATTTATTGAAAGGATATTGAGTTCCACAAAATATTAATATCTTTATGGACAGAGGACCAGCTTGGTCACTCTAGCTGGAGCGACAGAGGAAGACTTTGCCTCAAAAAAAGTAATAATAAAAACTGAGGTGCAGGGACGGAGAATCGGGGAGGCAGCCGCTGGAGGTGAGGGCGGGCTGTGGTTGCGGAAGGGCCCTCTGAGCAGTGTTCCGGCCCACGTTCTCTCCAGGAAGAGTCTGCACCTGAGCTGGGTGTTTTCGCTCCTTGTTACATTAACTTGAGTTGTTTCCACTTCCGAGAAGAGCTGGCTCGCGGGCATGGCCACGCAGACAACAAAGGGAGCCCCATGGTGCCTCCTGGCTTCTCCCGACTTCACCCTTGAATGATTTCCTGTTTTCTCCCTTCCTTCCTCCCTCCTCTTTCCCTCGGTGCCTTCCTCCCGTCCTCCTGAAGCCTGAGGTCTGATAGGGCCGGGCTCCTTAGCCTCCTTGCACTGACTGGCAGCTTGTTAGAGACGCAGAGCCCCAGGCCCCAGCGCAGGCCTATTTATTTGTTCATTCCCCTTTCTCCCAACTCCATTCCTATGCCTTTGCCCACCAAAGACACTCCTTTTCATGTGTTGAAAATCGTCCTTAAATATTTATGCATCTTTGAAACCTCATCAGCATTGAGTGTGAATGCATTTTCAATTTGCATAAATGTTATTATACTATAAATCTCATTGTTTCTTACCTTTTGGGTCACTGTTACGTATTTAAGATTTAATCATTTTGCTGTGTGTAGATTTAGTTCATGTTCTAACGACTGCACAACATTTCGTGGGCATTCAACACATTTTACTCAGCTGTTTCCCCACCAGAAGCAGCCAGGTGGCCTAGAACTTGCCCTTGGCTCAAAGAACACTGTGTGTTCCTTAGAGTCTTGTGAAAATTTTCCTTTGGGCCAAACGTGTTGGGGTGGGCTTGCTGGGCCATTGGGTGTGCGCACGCGCAATCTCACAAAATCATTCTAGATGGTTTGCACCTGTTTACTCTTCCAGCGATGCAGTGCTGCATCTTCTTTCTAATCTTTGCCTCTCTGACGGATGTGAAATGGTGTGACATCACATTTATCTTATACCAGTGAGAACATTTCTATGTCTATGAATTCCATTCAGTCAAACATTATGGTACCTATTATGCTCCGGGCATTGTTCTAGACAGAGAGAAAAAGGACATCCTTTGTTCCTTTTTAATATTGGTTCCAATGCTTTTTTCTTGACAGTTTTTAAGAGATCATTGCAGATCGAGATATCAGTCCCTTGTCAACGTAGACAATACAAGCATCTTCCCCAGTCTGGACTATCTGATAACTTTGCCAATGGCATCCTTCACTGACCAGATAGCATTATTTTAATGAAGTCAAAACATTTTTTTTTTACTTAACATAAGAGTTAGGCAATGTCATATTGACAATTCCCTGGATTTTTGTTCTGTTAGCTTTGTAGTATTATGGGTTACACTGAGGCTTTTATTTCATCTGGAGTCCACCATTTATTTTATGTGGTATAAAATAGTAATCCAGTTCTATTTCTCTCTATCTAACAAGCTAGTTTTTCTAACATAGATCTCCCTTTCATAAAGTTTTCATCATTTAGTATAACCAGTCTCAGGCTCAAGTCTATTCTGGAACTGAGATGAGTCAGTGTTTCCAAACAGCTCCAGTTAGCAAAGGTCTCTGTGACACCTGACTCCAGGCAGCTCCAAATGACCCTTGGCAGAGACGCATTTGTGGTTAATGTTCTGTGGAGTCCCAGGAGCCAGAGGTTTGACAGCAACAGACAGGTGCTGGTGGCCCTCAGTACATGGCCCTAAGGAAGGAGAGGGCTTGTAGAGAGCGGAATTATAAATCAGGAACCAGTCTGCAAGTCACCGTAAATGTTGGGACACTCCCAGGAGGGTTCTCTGCTGTCACACATCCAAACACACACGCTCAGTTCTGAAATTTATGCTTTGAAATTTGAACATGGTGTGAGAGTCGTCAGGATTCAGGGCAGCCAGAGTTTCAGAGTATGCGTCCTGCGGCCAGAGCCCCAGGTTAAATCCCGCCGGCGACTCCTCTCCCGCTGCGGGCACGCCCAGCGAGCTGGGCTCAGGCACGCAGTAAACGAAAGAGTGACGAGGAGGCCTGTTAGACGACAGTCCTGACATTCCGGGAATGTCCAGCTCTGGAACAGGCTCTCACCCTCAATGGATGCATGATCTAAAGTGGGGACGAGACAAGTCACACAAAGAATTGTTCCATAAGAGAAAATCTGGTGTGAGGGAACTGGGGCTTGGTAGGAATAATGAATGGCGCTCTGATCACTCAGGAAACCCAGGGGTTCCGGGAGCTCTGTGCCGGAACCCGTCTCTTCCTTCTGCGACCACACCCTGAAGGATCCGCAGCGCCTGCCAGGCCGCCTCCCCCGCTTTCCCTAGGGCCCCAGCGGGTTCCCTCCTCCGCATCGCAAAATGCTCCTTGTTTCCATCCCTTCCTTTTCGCACGTCCGTCTCCTCTGCTTCCTCAATCCCAGGCCAGCCTTCCCACTGGTGCCCTCCCCTCTGGGCCTCCGCCCGCGCAGTCCCCAGATCTCAGCGCCTTCCCGGCTCCCCCCAGCTTCCCCAGCTTCCGAGCGTGCGGGGCTCCGCCACCCTGCAGCCTGGGCGTTTTCTGTTGTGGTTGTTTTGTTTTTGAGACAGGTTCTTACTCTGTTGCTCGGGCTGGAGTGCAGGGGCGTCAGCCTCGCTCACAGCAACCTCAATCTCTTGGGCTCAGGCGATCCTCCTGCCTCAGCCTCCCGAGTAGCTGGGACTACAGGCATGCGCCACCACGCCCGGCCGATTTTTTTCTATATATTTTTAGTTGGTCAATTAATTTCTTTCTGTTTTTAGAAGAAACAGGGTCTCACTGGTTTCGAACCAGCTCAGGCAGGTTTCGAACTCCTGACCTCGAGTGATCCTCCCGCCTCAGCCTCCCAGAGAGCTAGGAGACAGGCGTGGGCCGCGCCCGGCCAGCGCTTCCATTTCAGGGCCGGGCAGAGGGGCTGGGAGCCGAGCGCAGCTGCGGCCCGGCCTCTCGGTCCTGGAGGCCCCGGGCGCGCTCCGGGCCGGGCGCGGGCGGCGCGGGGCGGCGCGGGGCTGGGAAGTTGAGCGCGGCGCGGGGCTGGGAAGTCGGGCTCGGCGCGGGCGGCGGGGCGGGGAAGGACGGGCGGCCGCGCGGTCGCCCGCCGCAGCCATGGGCGCCGTCTGGTCCGCGCTGCTGGTCGGCGGGGGTCTGGCAGGGGCGCTGGTCGTGTGGCTGCTGCGGGGCGCGCCCGGCGACGCGGGGCAGGGGCAGGACGCCCCTCCGGGGGAGGCTGCGGCGCCGGGAGGCGACCGGGACGGCGGCGGCGCGCTGGGCCCGGGCCCCTCCGGGCAGGAGCCGGCCACCAAAGCAGGTACCTCTGCCGCCCTGGCTCGGGGACAGGTGCGCCCGGACTTGGAGGCTCATCGAGGAAGGGGACGGACAACCCGCGTGGAGCTTGCCCCGCCGGCCGGCCCTGCTTCGCCCGTGGGCACGCGCCCCCGAGCGGCCCCTCCCGCCCTCGGAAAGGGGGACTTGGGTTTGGGGGAGCCCTCGGCGCTCTTCCGCGTGTGACCGAGCGGGCACCTGGCCTCCGTCCCAGCCCCGTAGCCTCGCGCCCTCCCGTCCCACAGCCCACGGAAGAGCCGGGTTTGGGGACAGCCGCCTGCTGTCCACACGCTGTGTGCGGGGCAAAGTTCGGGCCGGACTCCGGCCGCAGCGCGCGTCTCAGCCACCGCGCGGGGAGGTCTGCTCCCTGGGGAGGGGTACTTAACCGGGGTACTTAGCAGCGGACCCACTCAGATGAGCACAGTTTACTCTAGGGCTCGGTGTCTGCATTTCAGAGACTTCGCCAGGCAGAGAGCAAACGCTGGCAGAAGACCCTGCCTCGCCTGGCCTCCCTTGGCGAGCGCCGGCCTGGACTGCAGCCTCCTGGGAAAGTGACACTGTGAACTTTATTTTTAGTAGGGTGGAGTTCACGTGTAGCCCCATGAAAATGCCCCGTGGCTCTTTCTGGAATGGGTTTGGGATGAATGCAGAGTTCATTTATCTTTTTTTTTTTTTCCTGAAGGCAAATTGGGAACACAGAGTAATATTTTTTCATATTTTACTGCAACCCCACCATTAAAGAGACAAAATGAGAAAAGACTGTCCTCCTCCACCCCCCCCCCCCCAATAAAACTTCAATCTGCTGATGTGAGCTATTTGGACGATCAATGATGTGGCCAAGAAGGAAACTGAGTCTTTAGGGGACTTGGATTATGTGTTTTTAAGAACATTAAAACAAAAACAAAAACTGTGTTCAGTGAGAGGGGTTGCAAAAAGCCCTATGCTTTGTTGAAGAGGTTCCTGATGCATGTGGGATTAGCAGGGAGAAACCAGTCCTCTGCCCCCAGCTCTTGCCGAGTGACACCCTACTGTCTTCTGTGTTCCTCCACAGCCACGGCTCCTGCCCATCTGCCCACAGATCGCCGAGCCCTGGCTGCCCTGCTCGCTTTCCTGGGAGTGTGGCACCCTTCTGGTTGGTAGGGCGGCCATGCTGCCCTCTGCCCCATGGGCTGTACTTTTTTTTTTTTTTTTTTTTTTTGAGAACAGGACTTGCTCTGTTGCCTGGGCTAGAGAGCCGTGGTGTCATCATAGCTGACCACACCCTCGACCTCCTGGGCTCAAGAAATCCTCCTGCCTCGGCCTCCTGAGAAGCTGGGACCACAGATATGCACCACCCATGCTCATCTAATTTTTTGTAGAGATGGGGTCTCACTTGCCTAGGCTGGTCTCAAAACTCCTGGCCTCAAGCAATCCTCCCGCCTGGGCTTCCCAGAGTAGTGGGATTACAGGCGTGAGCCACCGCGCCCAGCCTGGATGACATTTTTTGATGATAGGTACCAAGTAACTTGACTTGGTTGCATGCCAATATGGCCTGGACTGTGGGAGACCAGGGACCATGACAGGTCATACTTTTGCCTCCACAACATGGATGCCCCTGGCTGTGTGTGCCTTTTATTAGCACATACAAATGTATATTCTTAGTGCACGGTGTCGGGAACATACCCAGGTAATTAAGTAGCACTTGATTTTAACAGCGAATTTGTGAACTGCAGATGGATTAGTAGTAAAACCTTCAATACTATTAATACATCTTCTCAGTATAACTCACTTTTTCTTACATGAACTGCCTAACACTATTACATTTTCCATTTCGTTTCTTAGAGCATCTTCAAGAAAGCAACGGACGTTTGATTTCTGAGACCAAAGATCTTGGGCACCCACAGGAAGAAGCACGGGAACTGAAGAATCCTGGAGAAGTCTCTGGCAAGTCAGGAGAGCATGTTCCTTCTGGACAGTTTCCAGATACGAAATGTCCAGCTACTTCCGAGAATGGTAACTCTAGGAGTTACTCTGAGTCCTCAAGAAACGAAAGCCTTCAATCTCCCGCAGAAGAATGGGGATTCCGCAAAGGACGGGAGACATCTGCTGATGCAACTCAATGTTTTGCAGACAAGTTGCCTTCTAGCAACCTGCGCAAGGACAGAGATAGAGACGTGAGCCTTGCCCCGCTGGACAGCCAGGACCTGGCTAACCACGGGGACTGGGAACTGGTGTCTAGGCACTCATCGTGGGGGGATGTTGGTGTGGGTGGCAGTCTCGAGGCTTCAGTGTTCGGCCCAAACCAGGGAGCGGACTACGGGAGAGGTGGTGTCGTGGAAGCAGGAGGTCGGGAAGCGTGTGGGGAAACGGAAAGGGCGGCAGCGAGATCATCAGAGACGCAGCAGGTCAGCGTCAGGTTCCAGGTCCATTACGTCACAAGCACTGACGGGCAGTTCATTGCCGTCACTGGGGACCACGAGGGGCTCGGGAGATGGAACACGTACACCCCACTCCATCACACTGACGGGGGCTTCTGGGCTCACTCTGTTTCCCTGCCAGCAGACACAGTGGTGGAGTGGAAATTTGTGCTGGTAGAGAACGGGCAGGTCGCCCGCTGGGAAGAATGCAGCAATAGGTCCCTGGAGACCGGCCATGAGGATAGAGTGGTTCACAAGTGGTGGGGGGTTCACTGATTCCGTCTGCAAAGTGCTGGAGAGGCTGCAGCAGACTGTGGAAGAGGCAAAGGTTGTGGAGCACACGGCATCATTTAAAATAAAGGCAGTGTGACTCCAAATTTAGCAATCAGCGTTGTTTCAAAGCCAGTGGCTTTGTCTACTGTGCAGAAATATATATATGCAGATAATGGTCCCAGTGAGCATGGCCCTCTCCCCCTGTGCATTGATTGGTGGTTTATGCGGATCCATCACCACTTTAGGGCTTGATCCTCTTGGGGGGTGACGAGGCTTCAGATTATGGTCACGGAGCTCAGAAACTAACCAGCTGCGCACGGTCCAAGCTTGAGCCTTTAGGTGATCCTTAGACCAAGGTAGCAAAATAAGCCTCATTCAAAATAGCTGGCCTCCTATCCGTGCAGCGTGAGAAACGCTCTTTACAACGTGTGTTATACACTGAATGTTTCAGAATCGCTGACACCATATGGAACTGATCAGAAAATGCCATCACTAGACGTGATGAGTAAGGATCTGAGGTAATGCTCTAAGACTTTCTAGTGGGTTTTTGTTTGCTTTTACCTGCCAGATAAGGATTTTGAAGGTAGCAAGTCTGTCTTCGAATATTCTGCGGCTGGTGTAGAGCCAAGGGGCCTGATCAGAGCCCGTCGTCACGGAAGTCAGTCCTGGGAGCAGCCCAAGAGGAAGGGGGCGTGAACGGGGCTGGAGTGTGGACTGGGCGAGGTGGCCTGAACGACATCTCGCCGAGGACTGGGAGGCACAGGTGCAGTGGACTGCAGGGAGGGGACACTCACCCTTTACCCATGGGAGCCTCTGCGGGGCCACCCCTCTCCCACTTGTGCTCACCGCTCCCAGCAAGTCTGGGCCGCTGTGTAGCAGTCGCCTCTGCCACCTCTTCCCTCTCCTCCCACACCAGTGGCTATCCTGGGTAACAGACTCACACAGGACAGTGATATAGAAGTGTGTCTTTGCTCTGAGAACAAATAAACATTTAAACTTTAAGTTATTATAACTGAACTAATATTAATAAAACCTGTTTTAATGTCTTTATTAAATGTCTGAATTATTTGTCTAAATATTAGTATCATAATAGTCTAGGTATAAAGTAAAAACTAATATTTTCCTCCACTAATGATAGACACATAGAGAAAAGCAAACATCAAAACCCATAGAAGAAGACTTATGAAGAGTCTGTTTTTCTCCTCCTTTTGAAGAGAAAGTTTAGAATATTTCCTGTAAAACTGTACATTTTACCTTTGTTGGAGGGAAAGTCAGCATGCCTGTACTTGAAAATGAATTCTTATGTTAAAATAACTTACAGTAAGTGTAACAAACCTTTGATGAAACAATGTTTAATCCTGGCAACGGATAATCTTTGCTGAAAAGCACAAACCCAACTGAAAATGGCATTAGAAAGTGCTTAAAATAACTGTGTTTGACAGTTTGGGGCTCATAGCACTTCTGTGTTGAATTTATATATACTGCTTACCAGGACTGCACAGAATGCCCAAGGTAAAGCAATTTAAGTAAAAGTCTCTGTAGAATTCTATAACTAGTCATTTTATCACTACCTGATGAAATAAAAATTAATCTTTTAGCAAAGCCAATTGACTTAAGATAAAATATTAACTTAAGAAATCACTATTTAAAATTGGCCGTGCGTAGAGTGAAAGCAGGGACAGGAGCGCTCGCTGCGTGACGCGCCGCCCTGCCCGGCTCGCTGCGCAGGTGGCTCCCGCCGCGCAGGTGAGGCTCCCTCCGCGCAGGTGAGGCTCCCGCCGCGCAGGTGAGGCTCCCTCCGCGCAGGTGAGGCTCCC